TTAATGCAATCCCCATCAAAATCCCATCAGCATTTTTTAAAGAAATAGAACAAAAAATCATCAGATTTGTATGGAAGCACAAAAGACCCCGAATTGCTAAAGCCATCCTGAGAAAAAAGAACGAGGCTGGAGGCATCACTCTGCCCAACTCCAAATTATACTACAAAGTGATAGTAATCAAAACAGTGTGGTACTGGTAGAAAACAGACACACGGCCCAGTATGGAGGTTCCTCCAAAAACTAAGAAGTGATCAACATATGATCCAACAATCCCTATACTGGATATTTACCCCAAAGACTTGAAACCTCATATCCAAAAGGAGATTTGCACACCGATGTTCATAGCAGCATTATTCACAGTGGCCAGGACATGGAAGCAACCGAAGTGTCCTACATTAGATGATTGGCTAAAGAAGCTGCGGTATATATATATGTATATATACAATGGAATATTACTCAGCCATAAGAAGAGATGAAATACTGCCATTTGCGACAACATGGATGGACCTGGAGATAATCGTACTGAGCAAAATAAACCAGATAGAAAAGATTGAAAATCAGATGATATCACATATATGGGTGATATAAAGCAACAAATGAACAGGACAGAGACTCATAGACATGGACAATGGACTAGTGGTTACCAGAAGGTAGGGGGTGGGGAAGGAGGGGCGAGGTAGACAGGGTAAAAGAAATCAAATATTGGGGGTTTGGGGGAGGGTGAAGTGGATAAAGGGGTTCAAATATATGGTAGCTGAAGGAAACCGGACTTTGGTTGGTAATTACACAATAGAATATATAGACATCAAATTATATTGTACACCTGAAAATTATATAACTGTTTTAACCAATGTCACCCCAATAGACTTAATTTAAAAAATAAAGAAAGAAAAATAAAGAAATCAAGGGACAAAAAACAACAACGACAACAACACCAGAAATAAAAAATAGTAACAGCTACATTCCTATCAGTAAGTACCATAGATGGAAAAGAATTAAGTGGCCCAACCAAAAGATTGAGTGGCCGAAAAGATAAGAAAACAAGAGCCCTACATACGAAAAGGAAGGGGATGGAAAAAGATATTGCTTTGAATGACCTAGAAGGTATTTAAGTCAGACAGAGAAAGATAAACACTGCATGATTTCACTTATATGCAGAATCTAAGGAATAAAAAGAACAGACTAATCAAAAACAGACTCATAAATATAGTGGACAATTTGGTGACGGACATGGGGGAGGCGAGGTTGGGGGCTGGAAGAATGGGGTGAAGGGTAAAGGAAGTTCAAATAGTAGCTGATGGATGGTCACGGGGATGGGAAGCATGGCACAGGGAATGCAGTTAGCATTAATACACACACACACACACACACACACATATACTATGATAGAAGGTAGAAAGTGGCAAAGAGAAAAAAATAAAGCAAGAAGAAAAGGTTTAGGATGTGTTGGCAGGGTGGGGTACACTTTCAGAAAGATGTTCAGGGTAGGTGACATTTGAGTAAAGATCTGGGGAAAATGGGGCCATGGGTAGGAGCGTTCTGCACAGAGGTACGAAACCAGCATGCGCAAGCGCTTGAAGTGGTTGATGCTGGGGGATGGGGGATGAGGAATAGTAATAAGGCCAGTGTGTGGGGGAGTAGAGGAGGCCAGGCAGGTCATGGGGCAGGCGGTGAGAAGAGAGGAAGGGAAGATCAGCTCGGACCTTGTGAGCCATGGCAGTGCTCCAGGTATTTACTGTGCCAGGCGATGGGTCAACGCAGTACTTTGTGCATAAGGGAGACATGGTCTGATCGACCTTGTACGCAAATGTTAGGCTGCAGTGTGGAGTCCAGACTGAATGAGAGCAGGGGTCATAATTCTATGTGCTCCTGAGGAAATACTTGGAGTCAATGGATGGAAGGGGCTGATCTTTCTAATCAAACAATCGCAATTAATTCACTGTCTAACACTGACACTGACTGCCCAGGAACCCTGGGAGTTACCGTCAGCAGCTTGTCACTGGCAGTGCCAGCAGATGCCAGGGATGTTGATGCTGGGAAATTCCTACCTTGAATAAGGCGTTATAGCCGACGACACCTCAGATTTCTTCCAATACCAAGCATCTGATTCCACAGCATGGATCACTACAGTCACCCCCAGTTAGAATATAACTCCACAAATGCACAGAGTTTTGTCTGTTTTGTTCATTGCTTTATTTCTGGTGCCTCATATAGTGTCATGAACATAGCAGGCACTCAGTATTTGTTAAATGTATGAATGTTTTCGTTATACTACAGGACTTTGAGCAATGTACATTTCTTCTCTCCATGTTGGAAAATAAAAAAGTTGTGTTGGAAAATAAAAATGTTGTGTTGGATGGCATCTGATTACCTTTATAGGTCTGCCAGTCTGTGACCCCATTTCAAAATCTAAGCCATTGTTTCTTAGAGGTTTTGCAGGCTATGAGTGTATGGAGGGTGTTTATGGCGAGGAAAGGCAGGGATGGGTAAGG